ACATCTAACGTCTTACCTTCAAAAGGAAAGGATCCCCAACCAGTGGAGAACCTCCCGAACAGTCCTTCTTCATAGGAAGGGCGATAGAGAGTATCTTCGCAACTACCGTCCAATATGCCTGCTGACCGTGCTTTACAAGCTCCTCACGAAGATCATTCTTGCGCACATATCAAGGGCACTGGATGAAGCCCAACCTGTAAAACAAGCTGGATTTCGCCAGAGATTCAGCTGCGTAGTACACATCCAGACAGTTTCGAAGATTATCGAGGTTTGCCGAGAGTATCGCCTACCTCTCGTCCCAACCTTCGTTGACTATGAGACAGCGTCGAGACTATTGCTATAATGTCAGCGCTCGTCGACCAAGCGGTGGACCTATCTTATGTGAGGATCTTAGCCGACTGTTACAAGAGCTGCTTCAAACGTACAGCTTTTCCATCGCCCCCTCAATCAATTCTAAAAGGGGTTGGTAAAGGGGTATCGTACCGTTAAAACTTTTTACCGATGATTCGCGGGTGGCGAAATTACTGGATTGAAAAGCGAGAAGCGTATGAGCGTCTCGAAAAATACCACTGATGCGGAAACGATGCTGGAGGAAGTAAACGAAATAGGGAAGCGGATAGGACTGCGAATCAACCGGAGAAACTCAGTTTATAAACAACGCTTTCCAATCGTGATCTTATATCTCGAGTGTTCAATTAGCATGGAAAACGATCCAAAGGAAGAATAAACAGAAAGCGAAGAGCGGCTTGGGCAGCTTTTGGCTCCTAAAAACCACAGGCTAGCCGAGGGACCCAGAGCTCCGAGGCTACCCGTTCAATTCAACCTTTCTCCCCGTACTCTGTTCGTAGCCTGACACTTCGCTATGTCGAAGGCTCTCCGAGCAACCTACAGAGCGTTGTAGTGAACTGCGAAGTTTGACGGAATGTTCAGTGCGTTTTTTGCAGTACAACTGACGCACTGAACATCTCGTCAGACTTCGCAGTTCAGACATGAAATCAATGTTTTTGCGATCCAGCAAAATGCTTTCTACAGAACACCGATGGACTGTTCATATAGAGAAGGACAAACGACAGACGGACACTAACTCTGGAATGGATCCATCGCGAAACAAAGGGTCTTCGAGGGAGGCCACCGAACGTTGGGCTTGGGCTGACGTGTGTGTTGCACGGATGAAATAGCTGGATTATTAGCTGGTAACGATTAATGGATCTGGATCTGCGAATGCCGCCACCGCAGTTCAATACCAAGATCGTGGATCCTAAAGAGACAAATACGGATGAAACAATATGGTATTACAGTGGTAGTTGTAATAGTATATTGCAGTAACCGTGAAAACGGGCTACTCAGCAAATAAACAAAACATATTTATCCCAAAATCTGAATATTTCGGTAGTAAGAACGTAGTACTCATTTTCAACTTGGACTGCAGCATTATATTCAGATTGTTACATTGTTTAGTTTTTACGAATTTATTCCTAACGTATAATTGTCACACTCCTTGAAATCATGCAAAAGACCTTTTTTCCACAAGGCTTCACTCATCTCTTCGAATCCTTCGATTCGTATTGCTTAAGCTGACAATTGTAATGTCAAGTCGAAAAAGTCGGTCGACGTTCGGCACTCAGGATTTGTCATGGTCGCAACTCGTCCAATTCGCGAAATATCAATCTATTTGAATTGGTAACAGCAAGCCAATCAAAAGACAACGTTATCTTTTCGCTTTTATCCAAAAATGTTGTCTATTTTCATCAGAAATCGTTGAGACTTTTCTCAGATTAGAGTCCAGTCTGTTTTTAGAAAAAGTTTTTAAATCAAAGTTATGCTTGCAAATGGTTAAATTGTTCGGGAAGATGAGACCTTAGCGCAAGATGCGCAATTTCAAGGATGTTGGACTACCTTCAAATTGCTCCAAACAAGAGGCCATTCAACTTCAAAATTGAAAGGCCTTTTGTTTGGAGCAATTTGTTTCCAAAATTCATTTTGATGAGTCAAGTTTTGGCAGTGTGATACAGAACATAACACCTTGTTCACAAGGAATTCTCTTGATAGTTTGCACTTTTTCTCTGGCCGCGTTGAAATCAAATACTGATGTTGGAACAAGCAGTTTTTTATCAACCTGACACTTTCACTCTCGCTCAAAAATCAGCTTGAAAGAGGGGTTATGGGGAAACAGTAAGCGTGGTTTTGTAGAATAGAAGACGTGTTCAATCACACGCAGTATCTGAGGAAAATTAAGAAAAATTAAGCATCACAAAATAATTCCCGTAAAATTACCTACAATCTAATATATTCATTACTGGAAGTGGATCAATCTGTCAAAAGTTTGGATGCACTAGGAATATTAACCTTTGTAGGTTTCAGAGTGTTTGAAAATGTCTTGGTTGGTAAAGCCTTTGAATACAATATCATAACTTCAACATCAACCCATCACGTTTTAGAACGTTGAAAGAGTTTTGTTTTTGATCTCCATAAAATGTTTGCATACATTTTGAGTCTTTACGTGCAATCTGTATAAACAATAATATTCGACTCGAGCATAGATTAAATTCAACTGTATCATCAGTTTAGATGACAGCGCTCGAAAATGTAACATTTGCATTGACTTATCTTTCTATTATGTATAGATTTCTAAGATGGCTGTTTTGTAACTATGTCTCCAGCACTGAGTGTATTCATCAGGAAAGGAAGGGTGCAAAGGTTAGCTTTTTATACGAAAGGCAGATGTAGTAGCCGAAATCACCTGCAGTGACGCAGATTTTGTATGAGTAGTACAAAGCAAAGCGCAACATTCAGATAGTCCACTGACATTATTACAGATTTGCTAACATTTTTACACATTTCTTTTCAAGACTGTAACGAGTTGGACACTGAGCCTAACGTCACAAAGTACTCACAAAACTGGCAGCTGCTTGGACAAAGTTAGGAAAGTAGGAATGGCTTAGAGCACGGTCAAAGAAAACTATGGCACTAGTAGTTGTTTCGCTTGTCATGCTTGGCTCCTATGCTCGATATGCACCTAAAACAGCTGCTTTCTCGTGAGAAGATGTGACGCACGCGACAGTAACAATCCGGAAGACCCTGTGCAGCCTAGTTCCTTAATCTGAGATACACCTCGCTGACTTTTAGAGTTATTTGAAAGCAGACTTGACTAATTAAGCGTTTGTAAATATAATACCTAATACGAACTTTTATTATAAAATAGAATGCTTTATTGCACACAACCACTTATGCCTATTAGAAATCGCGGGAAGGTTAAGCTTTGAAAATCATATCACAGAAAGTGACAATATTATGCGCAAACAAACCTTGGCGGCAGGTTTCCGGAGGGCAAGCTGGAATTCGTTTTTGCGAAAAAAAAGAGGAAATCGTGTAAAGTCTGGAGAGGAGCCTAGAGTTCAAACTCATTTATAGCTGTTTTTCCCAAGAATGTAGAAACTCCCCCCTCCCTTTCGTTCCTAGCGCGGATGTTCATGCATGCGGCCTAGGTATATCCGTCTTATTCAATACTTAAATCAGAGTAATTCCATACAACTTAAGGACCATTCAGAAACATGCTCCAGTACGAGTCCGCTGTTTGTTTCATTGCGGGCGTTTGAGCGGGTTTAAACGTGCTGTACAATTATTATATAAACGGGTTCTTCTAAGCGAATAGGCAATAAACACCCACCAAAATTGGCGTAAAGATGCGCAACAAGGAGTAGAAGAAGTGTTTGAAAAATCTTTGAATATTATGAGAATGGAATAATCTCCGTACCTTTTTGTGAATTAGGTCTCCGGCGGAGACCTACGAGAGACCTCAGGTCTCCGATTAGCAAACGCTTTATTCTCATAATTTTGCTTTCCTTATAGCAAACACTTTTTGTGCACTTCTTGACTCAACTTACAGCGCAATAACCAGATCACAGCACTTTCTCCCTTCCTTGCTAATGCCCTAAATTGTTTTACCTTAGTGAAGAAAACGCGCTCCAAATATACTGCCTGCAGTGCTTGTCCTGATTGCACGCGTTTGTACAAGTTACCAAGGGGGCTTTGTAATTTCCTGGGTTTTCAAGCGGGTATTTGTAAGGTCCAATCGGAGACCTCGTGCCGAGGCCTGTGCGCAGAGCATTTTGATACATATTAACAAAACTTACATTATCTTCTCTCGAAAAGACTAAACGCTGAGAGAGTATGATTTACCTTTCAAATGACGTTTTTTTTTTGCTAATGTTCCCATGTAAGAAGTACCAGCAGATGTCAAAATGCCAGGCGTATCCAAACTTTTGGGTCGATCGAAAACCATAAAAATGTTCAAAAATTTAGAAAAATCTTCTGGAGTGATAGTGATTGTGATATTGCTCTTGACTGTTGAACCTAGCCATTTAATAACAGGCTTTAGAACTCTTTGAAACATATGAAGTTGTAATTATAGGATTATCCAAACTGTTGGTTTGCAGTGTATGATATGAAGTATCAAAGCAATCGATTAGGAACTTTTCAAATGATGCTTCGCATACAGATCGTTGGCTGGTTGCTGTTACCTCCAGAGAAACGACCCGGACTGATCACCGCCTATCTGGATCAACCTGATGGCGCCGGACATTATCAAAGGGATGATAAGGACGTAAGTAGCTAAAATATCAAAGGAAGTTTTAATCTCTGAAGGTTTTTCGCGAAAAAGATACAAAACCCGTGTTTACACTTTGACGAAAAGCTGGCAATGTCCATTTCATGTCGTGATATTGTCCATTTTCGCGTACGCAGAAAAAACGCTTTCTTAATATTCTGTTTTTGAAGCAGCATAGGAAGAGGCGAGTATTCTCACTGCACTCTGCCACCTAAGAATAGGACGTCAGGCTACAGTAACTAACATGCGCATATTTTACGATTGGCAGTGCAAGACCGCTTTGTGAGCAAGTGTGGAAATCTGCCTCG